GATCGACATTCACAGCCGGAGGAGGAGGAGGAGCACGAGAAGAACTAGCTCCCAGAGTTTGTTTATTTGGTCGGAAGACCCAAAAACTGGTGCGTTCATCTTGAACCCAATCCGCTTTCTTTAAAGATGTGAGATTGATTTGATTTTGGAGAGGGATGGGAGTGTCGAGATAAACGTCTAGACCAAATTTGATAAACATGTTACTAAGTAGACATCCGTAGGCTAATGTTTCAACATGTTTAGAAGGGACAATGTTTACGATGTCTACTATTTGGCTAAAAATGACCTGTGGAAGATTTATTTTGATTTTATTTTTAATACAATACATCCACCATAAATCCCTAGCACGTAGAGTGGAGTACCTACCAGCAGAAGGACGAAACCACCAAGAAATAATAAAATGAAGGAAACGGTCGTGATGGGTTCGAAGGGTACTGACACTAGCATTAGGGTATAGGGATAAGCCACAAATTCTTTTTCGTCAAACACACAATCATCATATAACCCGAAATGAGAAGCAATAGTTGCGGAATCAACAACAATGTACTGTCCTAGAAGATAGGATCTAATTCCGATGGTTCCACATTGGGTTTGATTTTGAATACAGAACGCATTGGAATAGAAAATGCGGACTAATTGGTGGAAGACGATAGGTTGAAGCGAAAATAGTTTATCAAACTTCCATTGTTTAAGAATTGGGAGGTATTCAAAGTCAATTTTGTTCATGGCTTGAAGCGAGGGAATACGTTCTTCCCGAATTCTATAGGATTGGAATGACTCAATGTATCTATTGTAAAGGTCGTTTCTACGAAGCTCTGGCATATTGAACCAAGAACTCAATAGGCCACTAGTAGTTTGAGGAACGAGATTAGGAGGTAGAGGAACGGAAGAACGATGTGAACGACTAGAGGAAGTCCTAGGACGTTTAGGATTAGACATGGTAAAGGATTCGGAATAAGAAATATAACCTGCAAATTGAAAACACATGTATGTACAATAATCAATCCCAAAACTCAATTGAGCACTCAATAATTCAAGGTTCTCTAAACCGAATCCTAATGGGCAAAGTTTTGAAAACTATTTGAAAATAATGTTTGTAAAATTATAAGATGTATAGTTTTCATGAAAACAACATAATTAAATCAAAAACATCAAATTTAAAAATTAATTTTAGAATTTCGATTTTTTTATTTCGAAAATTAAAAAAAAATCTTGAAAATTTATGAGTTTTTGATGAAATTAGTTGGAAAATTGAGTTTCTAATCATCAAACAATCAATGCCCGATATAATGTTCATCCTAGAACTAATCAAAACTAGTTCTAAAATCAAAAATTAATAAAGTAGAGGTTTTTGAAATATTACCTTGAAAATTTCGGATTGAGAGGGATAAAGAGATGTTTTGCACGATTTGATGATAAAAGCAGGATTAGGAGATGAAAAGCTCAAAGAATCTAACGAAAAATCGTTGATTTTGAGCAAGTGGAGGATTTAGAGAGAGAGAGAGGGTCGGACGACAGAGAGAGAGAGTTTAATAAAGTATGAGAAAATAAAGAGAAACAGGGTTTTTAACCAAAAACCCGACGGATGCATCGATGCATGGTTTTGTGCATCGATGCACATTCAAGGCATGCATCGGTGCATCATGCGGATGCATCGATGCACATTCAAAGGGATGCATCGATGCATTGTTAAGTGCATCGGTGCATTAAGCACAAAAATGTCAAAAATCCATTTTAAACATTTAAAATGCTAAATTATTTGGCTCTAGTGGTATTGGCAACTCATATATAAAAAATTAATTATGTTCAATCAATCAAATTAATCTTTAAACTTTATTTGAACATAATTTTAATTTTTACTAAGAATCATAAACTCCCCCTAACTAATAGCAAGAATGCAATCAAAGATTATTATTATAAGCATTTTTCAATATTTATTAAAAGTGTTAAAATTATTTAAACACTAAGTGAAGATAGGTCAGTTAAACCTAATTCTCTCCTAAGTGTCCAAAATCTTTCCTTATCTAAGTGAGACAAATAGCATTAGTATTGTCACACTTGATAGGAATAGTACTTACTTCAATTCCATAATCAAAAAGTTGTTGTTTCATCCATAAAACTTGTACACAACAACTACCAGCTGAAATGTATTCCGCTTCAGTGGTAGATAATGCAACACAATTTTGTTTCTTTGAAAACCAAGAAATTAGCATATTTCCAAGGAATTGGCAAGTACCGGAGGTGCTTTTCCTTTCTAATTTGCATCCTCCATAATCCACATCTGAGAAGGCATGCAAGCTAAAGCTAGAGTCTCTAGGATACCAAAGTCCTATACTAGGAGTGTCCTTAAGGTATCTAAAGATCCTCTTAACAGCTAGTAAATGTGATTCTTTAGGACATGATTGAAACCTAGCACACAAGCAAACACTAAACATAATATCCGGTCTACTTGCGGTTAGATAAAGCAATGAACCAATCATGGATCTATATAATTTAACATCCACACATTTACCTCCTTCATCCAAGTCAAGCTTTGTAGAAGAACTCATTGGAGTGGCATAGGGTTTCTCATTTTCCAATCCAAATTTCTTGAGCATATCCTTGACGTACTTAGCTTGATTGATAAAGATGCCATCTTTTCTTTGCTTGATTTGGAGTCCCAAGAAATATGAGAGCTCCCCCATCATGCTCATCTCGAACTCACTTTGCATTAGCTTAGAAAATTCTTGGCAAAGAACATCATTAGTAGAACCAAATATTATATCATCAATATAAATTTGAACTACTAATAAATCTTTACCTTTTCTCTTTAAAAACAATGCAGTGTCAACCTTTCCTTTTGAAAAACCTTTTTCAATTAAAAAATTTGACAATCTTTCATACCAAGCTCTAGGAGCTTGTTTTAAACCATAAAGAGCTTTTGTCAATTTTAAAACATGATCCAGAAAATTTGAATCTTTAAAACCTGGAGGTTGTTCCACATACACTTCTTCTTTTATAAAACCATTTAAAAATGCACTTTTAACATCCATTTGATATAATTTAAATTCATTGAAACAAGAAAATGCTAATAACATTCTAATTGCTTCCATCCTAGCTACGGGAGCATATGTTTCATCATAATCTATGCCTTCTTCTTGAGTATAGCCTTGAGCAACAAGTCTAGCCTTGTTCCTCACTATATTACCACTTTCATCAAGCTTATTTCTAAATACCCATCTAGTACTTACATGAGTTTTATTACTAGGCCTTTCAACTAATGTCCATACTTTACTTCTCTCAAATTGATTTAATTCTTCTTGCATAGCCATAATCCAATGTTCATCTTTTAATGCTTCTTTGATGTTATTAGGTTCTATGCATGAAATAAATGCAACATAATTACAAATATTTCTAAGAGAAGATCGAGTAGTTACCCCTTTAGATGGATCACCTATAATTTCACCATCCTTGACATAGTTGTACTCTCTTGGATAAGATACTTCCCTTTCTTCAATGGTTGGATTCTCGAGGGGATCATGAGTTTCCTCATCTTTTGATGATGATTCTCTAACGTCATGTCTAATGTCATTTGTATTTACAATGCCTACATCATCATTAACACAAGAATCCTTTCTCGGAAGGGGATTATCATCGAAAACAACATGTATAGACTCTTCTACAACTAAAGTTCTTTTATTAAATACACGATAAGCTTTAGAATTTAAGGAATAACCCAGAAAAATTCCTTCATCACTTTTAGCATAAAATTTGCCAAGGTTTTCTTTACCGTTGTTTAAAACAAAACATTTACATCCAAAAGGATGAAAATAACTAATGTTAGGCTTTTTATTTTTGAAAATTTCATATGGAGTTTTCTTTAAAATTGGCCTAATCATTACTCAATTTATAACATAACAGGCGGTATTTGTGGCTTCCGCCCAAAAATATTTTGGCAAATTATTTTCACAAAGCATGGTTCTAGCCATTTCTTCTAAAGTTCGATTTTTCCTCTCAACAACTCCATTTTTTTGAGGGGTTCTAGGTGCTGAAAAATTATGGCTAATACCATTAGAATTACAAAATTCAATAAATCTAAGATTTTCAAATTCAGTTCCATGATCATTTCTAACACTAGTGATAGAGTAACCTTTTTCATTTTGGATAATTTTTGAAAATGTGATGAAATGTTCTAATGCTTCATCTTTTGTACTTAAGAATAGAACCCATGTATATCTAGAGTAGTCATCTACCAAGACAAATGCATATTGTTTTCCACCCAAGCTAGTAGTTTTAGTTGGCCCAAAAAGATCTAAATGGATCAATTGTAAAACTCTACTATTTGATACATCATTAATGGATTTAAAAGAAACTCGCTTTTGTTTTCTTTTAGCACAAGCATCACAGATTTTATCATTATCAAATTTAAGCTTAGGCAACCCTCTTACTAAGTCTCATTGAATTAACCGTTGCAAAACGCTCATACTAGCATGTCCTAGTCTCCTATGCCATAACCAACTATCATGCTCATCCTTAGCAACTAGGCATAAATTAGTCATATCAAAAGAATCTAAATGCACCATGTATATGTTTCCTATTCTATGACCAACAAGCATAATCCGATTAGATGCAATGTCAATGACTTTACAACCATTAATTTCAAATAAGACATTAAATCCTTTATCGCATAATTGACTAATACTCAATAGATTATGCTTTAATCCATTCACATATAAAACATTTTTAATTTGTATGGAAGAGGTATTACCTATTGTACCAATACCTTCAATGTGACCTTTTGAATTGTCTCCAAAAGTCACTTCTCCTCCATTTTTTACGTTAAGCTCAATGAACCGGCTTTTGTCTCCGGTCATGTGTCTTGAGCATCCACTATCAAGGTATCATGAATTTGAATTTGTTTCCCGTGACTTGTAGCAATGCTCATTTCCCTACAAACATAGATTAATTTTTGATTTTTGGTACCCAAATTCTTTTGGGTCCATATTCATTAGTTTCCAAAATCCTAGTCCCCTTAGGTATCCATTTGTGTAGGATATCTTTATCTTTAGTAGTAATGAGTTCTTTAGGAACCCACATACTTCTAACGATTTTTCCATTAGAGGTTCTTTGGGGACCTCTATGTTTGTAGTTTCTAAAACTTTTTCTAACAAAGTTGGATTTTGAATTTCCACCTTTTTCAAAATGTTTTGTTCCAACTTTATCAAAAGAAGTTTTAAGATCATCAATTTTCTTTTGATGATCATCATTGATCTTTGAAAGTAAATTTTGCAAATCTAAATTTTTCTTTTCAAACTCTTCTAGTTTGATTTGCAAATCTTTGATTTTACTTTCAAGATCGTTGTTGGTTTTGGATATGAGTTTGTTTTCATTTTTCAATTTTGAAATGTCATTTTTATATTTTAAAAATAATTTCTCATAATCCGAAGCCAACCCATTATATTCCTCTAATAACTCATCATAGGATAAATCATCAAAATCAGATGAGTTAGAGGTTACCTTAGAATCTTCCCCGAATGCCATCAAGCACAAGTTAGCTACTTCTTGTTCCTCTTCATCGGAACTTTCTTCATCGCTCCATGTAGCCACATGAGCCTTGTGCTTATTCTTTAATTGACCCTTTTTCTTCAATTATGGGCAATCATATTTGACATGCCCCGGCTTTTTGCATTCATAGCAAATGATTGGGTCCTTCTCTTTCGGTTTATTTTTTAGGCCTTCATTTCGTTTGAATTTTCTTCCTCGATAAGGTCTCATCATTTTTCTAAACCGTTTGGCAAACAATGCCATTTCCTCGTCATCGTCATCGTCATTCGAATCACTCTCATCTTTTGTGGATTTGAGAGCAACTCCAATGTTTTTCTTCTTCTTCTCCTTCTCCTTTGGTGTCTCGTCAATCTTGTCGAGGTCCACCTCATATTCGAGCATCATTTCATGAGTGAGGAGTGACCCAATTAGCTCTTCAAGAGTTAAGGACGTTAAGTCCTTAGAATCGATGATTGCCGTCTTCTTTGATTGCCACGATTTTGGGAGGGAGTAGACTAACTTCCTCACAAGCTTTTCATTTGAAATGATCTCTCCATATGATTTGAGACCATTGACAATCGTTGAAAATCTATCTGTCATAGCTTTGATATCTTCATTTGGTTTCTTCCTGAAATTTTCATAGCTATGCGTTAGAATACTAATTTTAGATTTCTTTACCTCATCGGTACCTTCATGAGTGACTTGAAGTTTGTCCCATATTTCTTTGGCGGTTGTACACGATGAAACTCTTCCGTATTCATCTGGTCCAAGAGCATAAAAAATGATATGGATGGCTTTGGAGTTGAGCTGGAACATTCTTGTCTCTCATTCACTCCACAACCTTGGATGAGTGAGAGGTTTGAAGCATCCTTCTTCTACGGCATTCCATGCTCCCATGTCACTTGCTTGAATACAGTACATCATCCTATTCTTCCAATAGGCATAGTTAGCTCCATTGAAGAAAGGAGGCTTGTTGACGGGCATCGAATCGAGACCGGAGTCGAAATTTGAAGCGGAGGCCATTGATGACTTGATAATTGATGTAACTCTTCCCGAATCGACTCAAGAGGTGATTAAACCTTCAAATGAGTGAGGCTCTGATACCAATTGTTGAGTTAATCGATCGACGAAATCGGCCAAGAGGGGGGTGAATTGGCAATTAAAAATTTTGGTGGAAGCTTTTGCAGAAAATTGAAAAGATTTGCACAGTGATTTAGAGTGGTTCGACTTTCTCAACCAAAGTCTACGTCCACTACCTTAGCTATCCACACTAAAGATTTTCCACAAATTCACTAATTTGTCTTTCTTTTGAGGACAAAGAATAACCTTACAAATCCTCAAGAATTATACCCCAAATTCTTGAGAAAACTCTCTCCCAAAGAGAACAATACAAATTTGCAAACTTACAAGGAAATCCTCACAAGGTAGATTGTTTGCACAATTCTAGAACAAAAAAAAGAACACTCAAGAATGAATACAATTGAGTACAAAAGTGTTATTGAAAGCAAAATGAATATTAAATGAAAAATAGGCTTGAAATGCTCAAATTTGAAGTTTGATGCTTTCTCTTTGATTCTCTTTTGATTCTAATTGCTTGATGTTTCTTGTTGTTGATCAATGGTTTCTAAACTTGTTTAAATACTCCTTGAATCAATTCTGAACGTTGGTGATAATTAGTGAAGTCAATAGAGCCGTTATTGTGTGAAAACAATTAATTTTCTGGGTGGGAGCGTCTCATGCATCGATGCATGACCATTATGCATCTGTGCATCAGTGTAAAATTTCAAATATTTTGACCGTTGGACTCCTAGTGCATCGGTGCACTAAGAGTGCATCGATTCATGAAGTGCATTTGATGTTTGAAAAATAGCCTGGTGCATCGATGCATGGCTTGTGTATCGATGCATCAAATGCATTCGATGTTTTAATTAAATCAGAGTGCATTGATGCATGAAGAGTGCATCGGTGCATGAAATGCATTCGATGTTTCAATTTATTCATTGATGCATCAGGGCATGCCTTTGAAAAATTGATTTAAGGCTTGATTTTGGTTCAAAATACTTTGTGAAAATTGTTTCAAAAATAGTTTAAGTACAAATCACAAATTTACACATTTAGTAAGGATTAAAATTGATCTTCAAAGACTTGGAGTAATAATTTGATATTCGATTGAATCGAATATAAATTGTAAAATCATTTGTAAAATCTTAAATTTAATTTGTTATATCGAAATATCAAAAATGTTTTCAACAGGAGATAAGGTTAAAGATTTGGATTTTTAGGAATTTGGGGCTTTTTAGTAATTTAAGAGAAATTATGTTTTTTTAATTGATAATATTTTTAATTTTTTTTAAATTTTCAAAATTACTTGAAGGCGACTAGCGTCACTTAACGAAATTTTTTAATGATCGTTACGACCTAGGCACCTAAAGTGGTAACGCGTTAGACACCTGAATCAACCCAAAAAAATTTAGACATCACTTTAAGAAAAGCGATACAATTTGAATATTTATTTTTATATTAATCCTTATTAAAAATATGAATTTGTTATCATGCATATTATTACCTTTTAAAAGAAAACTTAAAGGCTCATATGCCCTATAAAGTATATCTCTTCTATCAAACTATTCTCTGAAGCATTATTTTTTTCAATTCGGTTAGAAAATTTTTTGACCAATCAAAACATGCCACTTAATGATTTTGATCGGTTGACTTTAACGGAAAAGATAAATGATATGTTAATTCTTTTCATATTTTATTTTTTATTCATTTTAGTCTCTAAAAATTTTTTTAAGCCAAAATTGAACCTTTTCTATTTTTAATTTTTATTAGTTAATCCAATGTCATTTTATAATATTATTTAAAAATTTTTACTTATATTTATTTAGTATTAATTCCATTTGTTAGTTCGATCAATCAATTAAAAAAGGGTAAACTACACGAGAGATCACCAAACTATAGGCATTAATCAATCTTACCACCGAACTATTTTTTATCTCAATTCGATCACCAAACTTTTTAATTGATTCAATCAGACCACCACACCGTTACTTTTATCAGACTTGGTGACGTGTCTGTTAATAAAATTGGCATAATTATATATTTGGTCTTTAATATTTATATATTCTATCAATTTAGTCATTATTTTAATTCAATTAAATAAATTTAACTATCCAATTAGAACATTATACGTGTTAATATATGATTGGAAGGTTTTATTTATGAATTTTAAATTATTTAATTAACTGAGTTTTTAACCAATCAGGTGGTGACACGTGTCACCACCCCGATTGAAATGGAAAATTGAAGAACAAATATGCGTCCAGGGAGAATCGAACCTATGTATATGGGGGAAGTAACCAAGCGCCAAAATCATTAAGCCAAAACTCCCCAATGGTTATAATTTACAACAATTTGTATTTGACTTGTAAAAGTTTGTTAATAAAAATAAACAAATTATTTGTTTAAATAAATTATTTTTCTTTAACCATTAATCGAACCGAAATTTATTTGAAAATTATTAACCGAACCAGATTAACGGTTAATAATTTTTAAATAAATTTTGGTTCGATTAATGGTCAAATAATTTCGGTTCGATTAATGTTAAAGAAAAAAATTCGGTTAATTTGGTTCGGTAAATAATTTTCAAATAAATTTTGGTTAGATTAATGGTCAAATAATTTATGTTCGATTAATGGTTAAAGAAAAAAATTCGGTTAATAATTTTTAAATAAATTTCGGTTCGATTAACGGTTAAGAAAAAATAATTTATTTTATTCGGTTAATAATTTTCAAATAAATTTTGATTCGATTAACGGTCCAATAATTTCGGTTCGATTAATCGTTAAAGAAAAAAATTGTTGATTTGGTTCGGTTAATAATTTTTAAATAAATTTCGGTTTGATTAACGGTTAAAGAAAAATAATTTATTTTATTTGGTTAATTCGGTTAATAATTTTCAAATAAATTTGGGTTTGATTAACGGTCAAATAATTTTGGTTCGATTAATGTTAAAGAAAAAATTCGGTTAATTCGGTTTGGTTAATAATTTTCAAATAAATTTCGGTTCGATTAACGGTAAAATAATTTTGGTTCGATTAATGTTAAAGAAAAAATTCGGTTAATTTGGTTCGATTAATAATTTTCAAATAAATTTCGATTCGATTAACTGTAAAATAATTTCGGTTCAATTAATGTTAAAGAAAAAAATTTAGTTAATTTGGTTCGGTTAATAATTTACAAGTAAATTTCGGTTCGATTAACGGTTAAAGAAAAAATAATTTATTTAAACAAATAATTTTTAAATTTTTTTATTAACAAACTTTTACAATTCAAATACAAATTGTTGCAAGTTAGAACCATTGGGTTCTTTTGCCCAACGGTTTGGGCGTTTGATTACTCTCCCCCCATAGACACAGGTTTGATTCTCCCTAGGCGCGTATTTGTTTTTTAATTTTCCATTTCAATCGGGGTGGTGACACGTGTCACCACC